GGGGCCGGCACCTGGGCTCTTCTGGGGGCTTTCTTGGGCCGGTCGGGAGTCCCGGGGCCCGGTCCGGTTCCACCCGGTTCGGGCTTGCCGTTCGGGCCGGTTTCGACCGGCCGGTTCGGTTCGAACCGCCCGGTCCGGTTTCAGCCGGTCCGGTTCGGGCTCCGGTTCGGGCGGTTCGGTTGCAGGAGCCGCCGGTTCACGGTTACCAGTTCGGTTCGGACTCTTCTTGGTATTCGATATTGTTAAAGCTTGGCGTCGCCCTTCCGTCCTACCCCTCCTCCAACCTTCCTCCGTTCCCCACTCTGGTTCGCTCGCCGCCGTCGTCGTCGTCGTCGTCGTCGTCGTCGTCGTCATCATCTTCTTTTTCACTCCTGCTGACTACTTCTCGCTACTCGTCCTCCTGCTCATGCTTTTCCTCCTGCTGCTTTATCCCTCTTCCTTATTGAGGACTCCTCTCTGTCGCACCCCGAGGCCGGTCGAAGGAGCGGGCCGGGCGTTTCGCTTGAGACGTCCACACCAATGAAGATCTTGAAGCTTACAATGCGCAGTAGCTTCACGGATGGATGGCGACCCGCTTTCAAAATGTTGCTCTCGTCATAGTGCCGCGCATATTCGCTTCAAGCCGTTGTGAGAGTTTCACGGATGGAGGGTGGCCCTCTACCAACATGTGCGTCTCGCCTCATTGCCGCGCATTTTTTTCAACAATTTTGGAACAGTCTCACAGATGTAGGGCGGGTTCTTTTCGAAATATGGCTCTCGTCTTAGCGCTGCGCGCATTCGCTTTAAACCGTTGCAAGAGTTTCACGGATGGAGGGCGGCCCATTTTCAAAATGTGGCTCTCGCTTCAGCGCCGTGCGCATTTCTTTTACACGTTGGGAAGAGCTTCACGGATGGAGGGCGGTTTCTTCTCGAAATGTGGTTGTCGCATTCGCGCCGCGATCGTTCGTCTTGTAAGAGTCTGCCGTCGTGTCAAGGATTTTCATGATTAACGTCTCAGAAACGGTATTTTCGCAGAATGTCGGGCGCAGAAGTCATTCTGATTCGCGGTGTTGAAGTCTCAGGACTGGTGTTCTGGCATGATTTAGGACTGTCAAGACGCAACAGTAACGGTGTCTCGCGGCGATGACGTCTCAGGACTGGTGTTGTGGCACAATTGCGGATTTTGAAACGGGTGGTTTCCAACCGGGTACTTCCCTCAGTGAGAATGACTCCTTGTAGGGGCCCATGAAGAGGGAACTCTGAGGGAGGGTTGATTTCAATATCACTGATGGGTCTTGGGTATACACTGGTCCTCCTCCTCCTCCTCCTCTTCGTCACCCCTCCTCCTAGTCCAACGGGAGATCACGTGGGGTCCTTTTGCGCCGAGCAAGTCGATGCGGGAGGACTTTGGGCCCCCCGCCCCAAACGCAGCGCCCCAGTCCGAGGAGAGCCTCGAGCAGACCATGCAGTGCCGCGAGAAGCTGGCCAGGGCCTGGGAGGAAGCTGGCCGAGCTTGCGGAGAAGCGGTCAAACCCACAGAGGAGGAAATGGAGGGAGGAGAAGGATGGATGTCTTGGCTGTTCACCTGGCCCTTCGCTCTTCTGGTCGTGTTTTGGCTGCACGTGGCGCCGCTGGCGCTTGCGTTTCCCATCAGCTCGCTCGCGTTCGGCAGCTCGTTCGTGTGGCGCGGGCTGGCGTTCTACATGCTGGCCCGGGTGATCCTGCACGGGTTCCTTTGGCTCGAGGGTGCGATCATAGAGCAGAGGAAGTGGGTGACGGAGAACAGAAAGTGGGCCAAGACAACCTGGAAAGCGAACAAGAAGTGGCTGGTGCGAGCGTCGATGTTCACCTCGATGTTGATCGCGGCCAGCGTGATTTTTGCCCCCTGACGCGGGCGGGCTAGCTTGGGGTGTTTCGTCCAGATCGTCACTTTCAGAGACGGCGGCTCAAAGAGTGGGCTGGAGAAAGCGAAGGGGGAGAGGGGCACGACGGTGCTAACTTGTCTCTCCGCCTCTGCCCCTCCTCGCCCTCCCCACCTCCTCCTCCTCCTCCTCCTCCTCCTCCTCCTCCTCCTCCTCCTCCTCCTCCCCTCCCCCTCCAGGATGAGGGCCCTCTTCCTCACCCTGCTCCTGCCGCTGGTGCCGCTCTAGCTCCCCCTTTCTCCCAGCCCTCCTGTGTTGGGCTCTCGTTTGGCAGAGGACACCGTGGACTCCACCTTCTCCCGCCTCCCTCTGCCTCCCTGCTTTCATCGCCCTCCTCCTTCTCCCCCCCCTCCGTCCTCCCGCCCGTTCCTGCGCGCTCCTCCCTCCTCCCTCGGAGGAACGTCCAGAAGCATTGGCTTTTCCCACCGGCTGTGCCCGCCGTTGCGCTCTTCCCCTTCGCCAGCCCCCTCTTTGAGCCTCCCCTGCCCCTCGCGCGAGTGTGGCCAGCCTTGCCTCGGGAAGGGGAGGAGGAGGAGGAGAAGGAGGAGGAGGAGGAGGAGGAGGAGGAGCTGGAGGAGAAGGAGGAGGAGGAGGAGAAAGAGGAGGAGGAGGAGGAGGAGGAGGAGGAGAGGAAGAGAGGAGGAGGAGGAAGGAGGGGATGCGGAGAGAGGGGGAGCAGGAGCAGGAGCAGGAGCAGGAGGGAAGGAAGAGGAGAGGAAGAAGAGGAGGAGGAGGTGGAGGAGGGGGAGGAGGAGGAGGAGGAGGAGGAGGCAGCAGCAGGAGCAGGAGGAGGAGAAGGAGGAGGAGGAGGAGGAGGAGAGAGGAACAGGAGTAAGGTGGAGGAGGGGGAGGGGGAGGGGGAGGAGGAGGAGGCAGAGGAGGAGGAGGAGGCGGAGCGAAGGAGAGGATTGAGGAAGAGGAGGTAGAGGAGGCGGAGGAGAGAGGAGGAGGAGAGGAATAGGGGAGGCAGAGGAGGAGGAGGAGGAGGAGGAGGAGGAGGAGGAGGAGGAGGAGGAGGAGGAGGAGGACCAGTGGACGCCCAACAGTCATCACACCCTCGCTCCAAGCTCCCTCTTCATACTCCACTACAACTGTTCATTTCCACTGAGGGGACTTCCTCGTTGGAAGACAGCCGTTCGAAGACCCTTATCATGCCAGAACATTGTTCTCGGTATTCCAACGCCACACCGGACTGTTGCGTCTTGACTGTTTTGAATCGTGCCAGAACGCCATTCGTGAGACTTGAACGCCGCGAACCAGCGTAACTGTTGCACCCTCATATTCCTTATCCGGAATCCTTCCAACACAAAGTATCTGGTTTGTTGATCATGGGAGTCCGTGCAACTCGTCAAATGTTTAAAAAGGACATGGGCGGCGCAAGGCGAGAACAACATTTTGAAAAAGGATCCGCCTTTATCCTTGCAACTCTTGCAGTCTCTTAAAGCGAATGTGCGCGGCGCTAAGGTGAGAACCCCATTCTGAAAACGACCCGCCCTCAACCCTTGACACCCTTGCAACTTTTTTAAGATAATGTGCGCGGCGCTCCGGCGAGAACCTCATTTTGAAAACCACCCGCCCTCCATCCGTGAAGCTGTTGTCAATTGTTTAAGCTTCAGTGTCAGCAATGGCGAGGAAGTCTCAGGCGAAACGCCTGGCCCGCCCTCAAAACTGGCCTCGGGGTGCGTCAGGGAGAAGTTAATTTTAAGGAGGAGGAGGAGAAGGTCAGAAGGAGGAGGAGGAGGCAGAGGAGGAACAGGACGAGGAGGAGGAGACGGAGGAGGAGGAGGAGGAGGAGGAGGAGGAGGAGGAGGAGGAGGAGGAGGAGCAGAGAAGGAACAGTAGAGGGGGAGAGGAGGAGGAGGAGGAGGAGAGGAGGAGGAGGAGGAGGAGGGAGGAGGATGAGACAGAGGAGGAGGAGGAGGAGGAGGAGGAGCAGCAGGATGAGGAGGAGGAGGCGGAGGCGGAGGCGGAGGAGGATAAGCTGGAGGAAGAGGAGGAGGAAAAGGAAGAGGAGGAAGAGGAGGGGGAGGCGGCAGATGATGATGATGATGATGATGATGATGATGATGATGATGATGATGATGATGATGATGACGATGATGCTGCTGATGATACTGATGATGATGAACCTAATGCAGGTAATGCTGACGATGATGCTGATGACGACGATGATGCTGATGCTGCTGATGATGACGAGGTTGATGATGACAATGATGCTGAAGAAGCTGCTGGTGTTGGGATGATGATGATGATGACGATGCTGATGATGCTGCTGATGCTGATGATCATGATGATGCTGCTGATGGTGATGATGATTATGCTGCTGCTGACGATGATGACTATGCTGATGATGGTGATGATGATGTTTATACTGATGCGGATGATGATGGCGATGATGCTGATGATGCTGCTGCTGATGATGCTCCTGATGATTATGCTGATTATGAAGCTGACGATGATGATGATGATGATGATGATGATGATGAGGATGATGATGATGATGATGATGATGATGATGACGATGATGATGATGATGATGATGATGATGATGATGATGATGCTGATGATGATGATGATGATGATGATGCTGATAATGCTGATGACGACGATACTGATGATGATGCTGATGAGGATGCTGGTGTCGGTGATTATGCTGCTGCTGATGATGATTATGATGCTGATGATGGTGCGGATGCTTCTGCTGCTGCTGCTGATGATGATGCTGCTGCTGCGGCTGATGATGATGGTGCTGATGCTGCTGATGATGATGATGATGCTTCTGCTGCTGTTGCTGATGATGATGATGATGATGATGATGATGATGATGATGATG